CCCAACGGATGGTGTTGAGCGTGGTATCACTTCCTGCTTCATCTTGCAAGGAACGTGTGCAAGAGACTTTCACGAAGTGGTAGCAGTGGTCGGCCGTCTTTTCCCCCCGAAGAGGAAGTCCTGGCCTCCGTGTGGTTTTCATCAGCCCCATCGCCTCTTGCCATCCTGCCTACCTCCTCCCCCAGCACCTATGCCCAATGGAATCTCAGTATAGGCCCTCGTCATATCGTGTCTGGGTGGCGATAAATTGTCTGCCATCTTTTTCCATCTCGGTTCATCCTCCAACAAACTTAAAGTATAGCCAAAGGGGTAAAAACAATACATATTTGTTTGCAAAAGAAGGTCTTGACCCTGGCTACTTGTTAGAATGACCTGGGAGCTTTTAATAAGTGCCAGGTGCTATCCCTGAGAGTCTGATTAAGTTGGTCTGGTGCCCACCCCAGCTGGTGTGGCTCAGTGATTGAGCATCGACCTATGATCCAAGAGGTCATGGCTTGATTCCCAGTCAAGACACATGCCCGATGTGGGCCATGTAGGAGGCAGCTGATCAATGAATGATTCTCTCTCATCATTGGTGTTTCTATTTCTCTCTCACTCTCCCTTCCTCTCTGAAACCAATAAAAAATGTATATTAAAAAATTTTTTTAAAAATAAATTGATCTGTTGCCCACCCCCCTTCCCCACCCACCCACTTAATTTTTTTTCACCCATCTAATTTTTTAAAGTTCTGTTGGTGTTCCTAACACACAATCAGGAGTTTTTCTTTCTTTTTTTTTTTTTTAAGCCTCACCCAAGGATATTTTTTTCATTGATTTTTAGAGAAAGTGGGAGGGAGGGAGAAGGGGGGGAAAGAGAGAGAGAGAGAGAGAGAGAGAGAGAGAGAGAGAGAGAGAGAGAGAGAGAGAGAGAGAGGGAGACAGAATAATATTAATGTGAGAGAGACCCATTGACTGGTTGCCTCCCACCCAGGACTGGGGATTGAACCTGAAACCCTGGTACATGCCTTTGATCAGGAATCAAACCCTCGACCCCTGGGTCTATGGGCCAACACTCTAACCACCGAGGAACCGGCCAGGGTGAGAACCACTGATTGAAAAGAGGATTGGTGTGGCCTGGGAAGGCTTCTAGGATGTGACCTATGGACTAGCCTTGATGTACAGGGGAAATTTAGACACACGGAGTAGGTGTGAGGAAAGCTCAGTGTAGCGGCAGGAGTGAAATGTCAGTCTGGCTGTCAGCCCATCAGCCAGGCTAGTTGGAGAAGGTTCTAACAGCTCAGTGCAGGGAGATGCAGCTATAAATGTAAGTGGGCTTGTCTGGGAGGGGCCTCAAATGCCATGACAAGAAGTCTAGATAATCCTGAAGGCAAGGACACGGTAAGTCACTGGTGATATTTATGCTAAGAAAGTAGCATGATCAGAGATAAACTTAAGCAGATAACTCCATGTGCAGAAGGCATATAAACTATCTAAATTACTAAATTATGACACAATCTCTTAAGATAGTTGTACTCAAGCTAAAGCAGCCACCAAGAAGACTGTCTTTGGACCTGAGGTTCTCCCAGGTTAACCTTTCTTCCCACAACCTGAACTCAAAATCTTGCCCAGTTGACATATTCGTCAACAGAATGTCTCTAACAGAATCCCAGGTTTGTTTGGAATTCCTTATTATCAGCAATCATGTTTCTTTCAACCTTTTCTCCCTCCTGCCTATCATAGTAAGTCATAGTGCCTTACAGGTTCTCAAGAAAGGCCTATACATAGGAAGTGTCCCAGCACAAGGTAAGGTGACTTCTGTATAATTCAGGTGGACTCAGCAGCAGGGCATGAGATGGTCGAAAAATGGAAGAGAGGGGCAGACTCAGTCGGAGCTGAAAGAAACACCTAGTGGAAGGCTGGCCTCATGGTTGGGTCAGAAACAGTACAACACAGTCCATTGCCAGGGCTGTGGTGAGCCACCAGGAATGGATGGAGGCCAGCTAGTAGGCAAGGAGGTGCCCACTTGGGAAGAGGGGGAGGCCCTGCTCTGGGGGGCTCCAGGCGGCAGATGTGCTGAGGGCACGGGACAATGAAACAGCGATCTCAGCTGCTTCGTTGGACAGAAGAGCCCTGGCCATGGTGGTTGACTCAAGAGCTCAGCATGGTGTCAGGTCCAGACCAGAACAGACGTACCAAACAGAACATAGGTGGGATGATGGGACCATCACAGCTGGCAGTAGAGCCGGGTGGTGGCGCTGAGGCACGTGGGTGGCTAAGGCTCACCTGGGCCTGGGGGTCAAGCATCAGGGACAGGTTTGGACCCCACCAAGTGGTGGGTGTCATACAACCAATGCCCTAGCCTGATAGCCCCAGCGGCTGCAGGGAGGGTCCCTCTCACCACAGCTCAGCAGATTAAAGGATTGGTGTGGCCTGGCACAATTGGTGGATCCCAGCAGCTGAGCTGAAGATGCCCAATGCCAAGATGCCCATGAGAAAACAAACAAACAAACGAACAAACAAACAAAAAACAGGGCTTATTGGTTTGTTAGCAGCGGCTCCTTATCAATAAAATGAAAACACAATTTTCTGGCTTCTTTTATCTTCTCTCTGAAAGGAAGATGGTGCGATCAGCATCTGCGTCCCCGTCCTTCCCAGTGCAGGACTGTGGGGAAGCATGGGACTTGTTTGGAAAGTCTGTGAGGAGGATTCTCCAAAAGGTCAGAGGCCCCTAGGCCAGCGGTCGGGAAACTCATTAGTTAACAGAGACAAATATCAACAGTACAACGACTGAAATTTCTTTCGAGAGCCACATTTTTTAAACTTAAACTTCTTCTAATGTCACTTCTTCAAAATAGACTCGCCCAGGCCATGGTATTTTGTGGAAGAGCCACACTCAAGGGGTCAAAGAGCTGCATGTGGCTCGAGAGCCGCAGTTTGCCGACCACGGCTCTAGGGGGGACCTTGCCGAAGGCGGCAGCCCCTGCCTTGACTTTTTCAAACAAGTCCGAGCCCCCAAGTGCTTAGTCTTTAGACCTGACATTGTAGAAGTATGTACTTTCTTTTTTTAAAAAAAATATATTTGATTTTGATTTTTTTTTTTTTCCAGAGAGGAAGGGAAAGGGATAGAAAGTTAGAAACATCAATGAGAGAGAAACATTGATCAGCTGCCTCTTGCACACCCCCTACTGGGGATGTGCCCACAACCAAGGTACATGTCCTTGACGGGAATCAAACCTGGGACTTTTCAGTCTGCAGGCCGACGCTCTATCCACTGAGCCAAACCGGTTAGGGCAGCATGTGTTTTCTTAAAGATACCCTGCTGATTTTATCTAGAGGTTAATTTTAGTTCAAGCTGTTGCTACAATAAAAGCCTACGGAGGGAGGTGAATGGGGCTGTCCAATTCCTTTAGCCAGGCAGTCCCTTAGCCCTCTCTTTCACAGAAATGTGTGTCAGAGTGATGCATTCACTCATCATTCAGGGTCTGCTGGTTAGTCCTGGCACAAGACCAGCAAAGGCCCCACCTCCCCTGGCTCATTTCAACCTCCAGAGCCTCACCAGTGGGCTCCCTCCATGGTGGCCATCCAGCACCAATAAGCTCCAGGGGCAAACACCAAGAACACCTGAGGCCCTAACTGGTTTGGCTCAGTGGATAGAGCGTCTACCTGCAGACTGAAGGGTTCCAGGTTCGATTCTGGTCAGGGGCATGTGCCTTGGTTGAAGACACTTCCCCAGTAGGGAGTGTGCAGGAAGCAGCAGATCGATGTTTCTCTCTCATCGATGTTTCTCACTCTTTATCACTGTCACTTCCTCTCTGTAAAAAATCAATAAAATATACAAGAAGAAAAAGAAGGAGGAGGAGGAGGAGGAGGAGGAGGAGGAGGAGGAGGAGGAGGAGACGACCTGATGAATCCGGCCTGGAGTCACAAGACCTAAGTTCCAGTCCTGGTTTCATCACGAATTCACTGCCCTCATTGGGCATGGTGCCCCTGGGTCTGTCACTCTGCCCACCTGCACACCAGCCGTTTCCCAGGCTCTCCTCCTGCTCTCCTCTGATCTTTCACACCAGTGTGCTGAATATCAGGGCAGATGTGCCATGTGCCAGGACTAAAGCAAGAAGGCCTCCACCTCCTGTCTTGCCAAGCCCTTCACGATGCTGCTTCCACCCACACTGCTTAGTTGGGTGGAGGAGACCTGCCAGGGGGAACGGCTGCGAGCTCGGCACGGTGTTGCACGGGAGGAATGGAGATGTCAGACTCCAATGTCACCTGCAGTCATAAGAAGTGGCAGCTGTGGCGCTCTCTCCAGAACCACTGCCAGGCCACGTGTGGGCGGCTGCTCACGGCCCCTCGTTCTGGAGAAGGACCCTCTTGATGGAGCCCCCAGGCATGAACTGACTGGTATGGTGTACAAAGCTGGCCCCTTGCCTGGAGGTGGGTCAGCTCTGCAGTGTGGTGTATGCTCCAAACCTCCTTCTAAACTTTGAGACTACGTCCTTGCTCAGCCCCAGCCCTTCCTCCTCTGTCCTGCGCCCCTCTCTCCCTTCCAGCTTCTTCCTGAAGAACAATCTTAAGTCTCTTTCACAGGAGCATCTGCCTGTGGTCCTGCTTACAGGGACTTGATCTAAAACAGTGTTCCTTTAATGAGGCCCGGAGCAGGGTGTGGGCATGAGCTAGAAGGGGTCAATGGGGCTGGCAGGAAGGGAGGGGGGGCAGGGGCGGGGTGTGTGTGGCATCTGTAATACTTCCAACAATAAAGATTTTTAAAAATAATAAAAAGAAAGAAAATGCCTGGCCAGCTTGGCTCAGTGGTTGAGCATCGACCTATGAACCAGAAGGTCCCAATTTGATTCCAGGTCAGGGCACATGCCTGGATTACAGACTCAATCCCTGTAGGGGGTGGGCAAGAGGCAACCAATCAATGATTCTCTCTCATCACTGATGTTTCCGTCTCTCTTTCCATCTCCCTTCTTCTCTGAAATTAATAAACATGTATTTTTTGAAAGAAAGTATAAAATGCAAGCATTAATTGCCAAATTAATTTATTCCGTATCATGCAGATAAGCACCAAGGGAGACAAACATGCCTTCAGGGTCCGGTTAAGTAATGAAAGTAAGTAGGTGGGCAGGGTGAGGACTTTGTGTTCTGTTTAGAGAAGGAAGCTGTGGGCCTGGGACGTGTGGCTTAGCTGGCAGGAGCATATCCACGTTCCAAAAGACTGCAGGTTCAATTCCCAGTCACATCGAAGTTTCTCTTTCGCTAAACTCAATAAAAATCTCCTCAGCTGAGGATTAAAAAAAAGAGGGAAGCTGTGGGAATGTGGGTTTAAAATGGCTAGATATTCACGTTTTTCAAGAGACGGTGCCAATGGGCATTGCATATAAAATCTTACGATTTTTAAATGTTGGCAACTAAGTCAATTTAAAAAAAATAAATAAACAGCCGAAACGGGTTTGGCCCAGTGGATAGAGTGTCGGTCTGCGGACTGAAAGGTCTCGGGTTCGATTCCAGTCAAGGGCACGTACTTTGATTGCGGGCACATCCCCAGTGGGGGGTGTGCAAGAGGCAGCTGGTCGATGTATCTCTCTCATCGACGTTTCTAACTCTCTCTCTATCCCTCTCAATTCCTCGCTGTGTAAAAATCAATAAAATATATTTTTTTTGAAAAAGAAGAGGCGAGATTTCTCTTATAAAAAAATAATAAAAAATAAAAAAAACACTTCAGATGGCTCAAAATAAATGCAGTTCATATATAATCCAGAATCTGTAAGTTTGCAACCGGTATCCTACACTGTGTAAGGTACAGTCCCATGTACTATAGGAAGAATGTTAGAAAAGGTGACAGCCTTCAGAGTTCATAAGCTATTTGTGTAGGAGGCCGATTTACAAAAAGAAAAAAATTACATAAATACATACATATATATATATATATATATATATATATATATATATATATATAGATGACATGAGGTATTTTTGTATTCTTGGTGTTTTTATTTGCAAGCAACAGAAACTGACTGATTTGTTTAAACAGAAAAGAACATTACCAGAAGGATATTGACAGAATCGCTGATTGTAAATATAAATGGAATCCAAGCTCTCAAGCTGCTGTCTGCCAGCTGGCTCAGGAGCTGTGGCCATTCTATTTCATAAAGCAGCCACTCTGGCTATTGGGGTCCACATTAGAGCTAGCGAATCTGACAACCAGTTTCTTCTTTCACTAAAGTTAGTCCCTTGGTCAAAAACAAACAAAAATCCCAGTGTGCCTTTAACAATGAAAGGAAAATGCTATTGATGAATCATGGATGGGGCCAAACATCTATGGGAGTAGGGAAGGAAGTGCCCAGATTCATTCTGAAAAACAAAAATAGAAAGGCTTCCACAGTGAGTCTGTGGGGGAAGGAAGCAGAGAAAGGTCAGCGTCCTTGCTGTCCCTGGAGAGCAGTAACCTGTCTTTCCCTGATATTAAAACCCCCGTTTTCCTGACTGACTTCCCAAGCATCGCGGGGTGAGAGCTTCCAACGTAAGGATCGGTTGCTTTTTCTGGAACAGCACCAGCCCGAGGCTAACCTGGCTCATGCGGGAGCCCCTTGAATGAAAGTCCAAGAGTGGATGTGACCCTTTTCCTTTGAGAGACCAGGCTGGTCTGTTAAGAGTCCAATTTTAAGAGGCTACAGAGGCCAGCTCTAGCCAAAGTGGCCCAGCCCACAGTGGCCTCTCCAATGACATGGGGGAAGGCCTGCCTGACACCAAGCCCTCTTGGGCCCAGGCGCTGCTCTCAATCAGAGGTGGTGGTGAAGAGCACACACCCTGGACCAACACGCACACGTTTTATTCCTGGCTTTGCCTCTTGATGTCTGCGTGGACCTGCCTTCGTGTTGGCCTCATCTGTCAAATTAGGGGCTCACATGTTATTAAAGGCATGGATTCAGGAAATGAGCTGAGAAGGTGTTTAGCACACGGAGAAGATCAATACAGATTAATTTACTGTTAGCATAATGCATAACTGCTCATTCACTTGAGGGCACTTGGGCCACCACCATGAAGTGCTGTGTGTATCTGAGCAAAACACGTAAGCACTTCCAGCTCTTCAACTCAAGGTTCAGTAGGACGCCCTGCCTTTAAAGCCATTTCCGGGCCTAAAAAACTGAGTGAGTCAACACCTGCTAATGTCAACTTTGAGCTCAGTCTGCCTCCAGTTCCAGGCCTGAACTGTAATTGTAACCTGGATACTTTCTTCATGTATCCATACAAGACTTGTGATAGATAATTTTGTGTCAATTGACCAGGCCATTGGGTGACTAGATATTTGATTAAACGATTCTGGCGTGTCTGTGAGGGCATCTGTGGATGAGATTAACATGAGTAGACCTAGGAAAGCAGATTGCCCTCCCCCATGTGGGTGGCCCTCATCCAATCCATCGGGGCCTGGATAGAACAAAAAGGTGGAAGGGAGAATTTACTCTCTTCTGCCGAACTGTGTCCAAGCTGGGACATTGGTCTTCTCCCCTCAGACTGTACATTCACCACCCACTCTCCTGCGTCTCCAACCTGCAGATGATGGATCATGGGACTTCTCAGCTTCCATAATCACATGAGCCAATTCCTTATAGCAAGGAAGATTAGATAGATAGATAGATAGATAGATAGATAGATAGATAGATAGATGATAGATAGATAGATGATAGATAGATGTACTACTGGTTCTGTTTCTCTGGAGAACTCTTGGTAATAAACATATCCATCAATCAAAGACACTGAAACAGGGATTTGTTAAACAAACAAACAACATTCAGGAGTGTGATTCATTTATTTTTTAAGAGGAGAAAGGTAGTAGGGATAAAACTTTGGACATCCCAAGGCAGTATGTTTCATTGTTTATGGTCTATTTCTCCTTCCAAAGACTATGTCCTTATCAGAGATGAATTCTTGCCACCTGCCTGCAACCATGGTAGCCAAGCATTCACAGTTGAGCTTAACTTTTACTTTAAAGCAGAGTGTTGAGTGCAGGAGGGACCCAATGCCCATGGCTTTGAGTAGCCAGCTCTTCCTTCAAATTCCTTCTTCCTCCATTACTTGCTCCGTCACACAATTGAATCCTTACCTAAGAGTCATTCTCCTCTGTAATATGATAATAATGCCTCTTTTAATTTTTAAAAAGTATAGATTTTATTGATTTTAGAGAGAAATGGAGATATAACATCAATGATGAGAATCATTGATTGGCTGCCTCCTGCACTCCCCCTACAAGGGTTGGAGCCTGCAACCCAGCATATTCCCTCGGCCAGAATTGAACCTAGGACCCTTCAGTGCACAGGCTGATGCTCTATCCATTGAGCCAAACCAGCAAGGGCATAACACCTCCCTTTGAAAATGTCATGAGGTGCACATGAGAGAATGCATGTGTATTAGTCTCTCTTGCTGTTGTAACAAATTGCCACAAACTTAGTGGCTTAAAACAATACAAATGCATTATCTAACAACTGGAGGGTAAAGTCTAGAATGGGTCAGCAGGCCGTGTTCCTCTGCAGGCTCTACAGGAGAATCCATGCCTTTGCTTTTTCCAGCTTCTCCATTCTGCACGTCTGGTAGGTTCGTGGTCCCACATCACTCAGAATTCTGCTTCCATTGTTGCAACTCCTTCGTCTCTAACGTGCCCTCTTTTCCTTATAAGGGCCCTGTGGTTAGTTACATTGTGTCTACCTGGATAATGCAGGTAATCTTTCCTTCTCAAGATCCTTAACTTAATCACTCTGCAAAGTCTCTTTTGCCATGTCAGGTAACATATTCACAGGTTCCACTAATTAGGATGTGGACTTTTTATTTTTATTTTTATTTTTTACAGAGGGCAAGGGAGAGGGATAGAGAGCTAGAAACATTTATGAGAAAGAAACATCAATTCAGCTGCCTCCTGCACACTCCCTACTGGAGATGTGCCCACAACCAAGGTACATGCCCTTGACTGGAATCGAACCTGGGACCCTTCAGTGTACAGTCCAACACTCTATCCACTGAGCCAAACCTGTTAAGGCAGGACGTGGACATCTTTGAAGGGCTATTATTCTGCCCACCACAGCATGTGAGAAACCTGGGACAATAATTCTGAGCACAAAGCAGGTACTTCACAAATAGCATTTTTTTTTTTTTGTAAGAAAAGCAACAGTACTAGAGTGATTAATTAAAGGTGACAAATGGCAAGTACTATATGTTACTACTAATATGAGGTTACTAGATTAGTCAAATTCCAAGAGACATAAATAGAAATTGTGATTGCCAGGGACTGGACACTGGGAGAGATGGGAGAATGTTGTTTAATGGATATAGAATTTCAGTTCTGTGAGATGAAGAAGTTATAGAGATCTGTTGCATAACAATGTGCTGGTGTAGTTAACACTACTGAACTGTACCCTTAAAAATGGTTACGATGACTCAAAATGGACCACAGACATAAATGTAAACTGCAAAATTGCAAAACTCTTAAGAGATAACACAGAAGAAAATCAAGATAGCCTGGGTTTGGTGATGCCTTTTTATTTATTTATTAGAGGCCTGGTGCACGAATTCGTGCATGGGCAGGGTCCCTAGGCCTGGCCGGCGATCAGAGCCCATCTATGGGGCAATTGGCGAGGGTGACTGGGGAACCCCTGCTGGCACCTGCCTTGGAGGTGACCGACGGGGCAATTGGGGGATAGCATTACCTGCTCCCGGCCAATCCTCCCTCTCCCACACCCCCACCTCGCCCTGCCAGTGGCATCCCTCTGTGGGGTGACCAGCAGGGCAATGGGAGGGGGGGGGGGCGCGCCCCGCTGGCATTCGCTTTGGCTGGCCAGGGGCCTGCAGGCTGCAGGCAGCTCCTGCATTGAGCATCTGCCTCCTGGTGGTCAGTATGCATCATAGTGACTGGTCCTTCAACTGATTGATCTGCCATTTGGTCGATTTTATATAAGGCTTTTATTATATAGGATTATTTATTTTTAAAATATATTTTTATTGATTTTAGAGAGAAAGGGAAAGGGAGAGAGAAACATCAATGATGAGAATCACTGATCAGCTGCCTTCTGCATGCCCCCTACTGGGGATCGAGTCCACAACCCAGGCATGTGTCCTGACTGGAATCGAATAGGACCTCCTGGTTCATAGGTCAACACTCAACCCCTGAGCCATGCCAGCTGGGCTGGTGCTGCCTTTTTAGATAGGTATAATCCCTGAAAGAAATAATTAATAAGGTGGACTTCATTAAAATTAAAAATTTCTGCTCTGTGAAAGACAATGTCAAGAAAATGAAAAAATAAGCCACAGACTGGGAGCAAATATTTGCAAAAGGCTCATCTGATCAAGGACTATTATCCAAATTATCAAAGTCAACAATGAGAAAACAAACCTGATTAAAAAATGGGCCGAAGACCTCAATAGATATATCACCAAAGTAGATACAGATAGCAAATAGGCATATGTAAAGATCTATATCATATGCCATCACAGAAATACAAATTAAAATAAGACACCAGTATATACCTATCTGAGTTGTATTGAATTTCAGCCAGAACACTGACAACAGCAAATGCTGACAGGAATGTGGAACAACAGGAACTGTCCTTCAGTGCTGGTGGGAATGCAAAACAGCACAGTTTGACAGTTTCTTACAACTAAACACACTTTTTATCATGTGATCCAGCAATTTCACTCCTTGGTATTTACCCAAATGAGTTTTAAAAAAAACACAACTTAGTTCCACACAAAAACTTGCACACAGATATTTATAGCAGCTTTATTATTTTTTTATAGCAGCTTTATTCATAATTGTCACAACTTGGCAGATTCCTTCAGTAGGTAAAATAAACTGGTACATCTAGAAAATGAAGTATTATTCTGCAATTTAAAGAAATGAGCTATGAAGCCATGAAGAGACATGGAGGAAACTAAAATGCATATTTCTGAGTGAAAGAAGCCCATCTGAAAAAGGCTATATACGGTATGACTCCAGTATAGGACATTCTGAAAAAGGCAGGAAGATCAGCAGGCCCTGGACGGTGTGGCTCAGCTGGCTGGAGCGTCGCCTCATACACTGAAAGGTGGTGAGCTGGATTCCCGGTCAGAGCATATACCCAGGTTTCAGGTTCGATTCCCTGTCGTGGTTGGTGTGGTAGGCAGCCGACCTCTCCCTCTCTCTTTCTCTCTCTCCCTAAAAAATGTAATAACATTTTTTTTAAGTAAAAAAAAAATTTTTTTTTTTTTTTAAATCAGCGGTTGTCAAGGATGGGGGGCCGGGGGGAAAGATGAGTAAGTAAAAGACAGGCTTATTAAGGCAGTGGAAATACTCTGAATGACATTGTAATGGTGGATACGTCATTATACATTTGTCCCCAAACTCACAGAATGACACCCCCAACAGTTACCCTTATGTAAACTATGGGCTTTGGGTGCTAATGGCATGTCAGCGCCGGTTCATCCACTGTAACAAACACGCTCCTCAGGTGGGGCTGTTGGCAGAGGAGAGTATGCATGGGTAGGGGTGGGGGGCTTGTGGAAAATCTCTGTACCTCCACACAATTCTGCTGTGAACCTAAAGTTGCTCTAAAAATTAAAGTATATTAGAACAATATTTTAGAAAGTGGTTAAGATAATAGATTTTATGTTATGTGACTCCTCGGGTCTCAAAGAGACTAATCAAACTTCATCTGTTTGATTTGCTTAAAACAGACTGGAGCAAGCTTCTTACACCACCATTTAAGCCAATAAATATTGCCTGGAAAGTGGTTTTTTTTATAAAAGTATGTTTGCAAGTACGTCTAACATTTATAATTTTAATGCCGCATCATTAAAAAACACACACACACACACCTTTAAACCATTTTTTCAGGTAATGGCTTAAACATCTCAAACTGTCTCTGATTGAGGCTGTTTCCAGTTTTCCTCAGTATTTTGTTCTTAATATGAAAATAGTATGAATAATATGAAGGTGTGGGAATTTGGGGGACAGGTGCTTAAACAGTTCTGTATCTCGACTTGGGGGTGGTTATACAACTATATACATTTGCCCAAACTCCCAGAATTGGGCCTGACCTGTTTGACTCAGTGGATAGACCATTGGCCTGTGGACTGAAGGATCCTGGGTTCGAGTCCAGTCAAGGGCACGTACCTCAGATGCAGGCTCCATCTCCGCCCCTGGTTGGGCACAAACAGGAGGCAACCAATCAATGTGTCTCTCACATCAATGTTTCTCTGTCTCTCCCTCTCCCTTCCTCTCTCTTTAAAAGACAATGGAAAAATATCCTTGGGTGAGGATTAAAAAATAAAACACTCAAAACTCCCAGAATTGTATACTAAAAAGTTTTATTTTATGTCAATTAAACCTATTTTTAAAAATACATATTTTTTTTTTTTTTTTTTTTACAGGGAGAAAGGGAGAAGGATAGAGAGTTAGAAACATCAATCAGCTGCCTCCTGCACACTCCCCACTGGGGATGTGCCCGAAACCAAGGCACATGCCCCTGACCAGAATCGAACCTGGACCCTTCAGTCAGCAGGCCGATGCTCTATCTACTGAGCCAAACCAGTTATGGCAATTAAGCCTATTTTTTAATGAAAAAATGTTATTTGGTATTTTGCTTTGTATTTACCCAAATTAATTGAATTGCAATTTTGACTCAATTGTAAAATTCATCTCTTTAGGTGCCCCCAAAATAACCCACTTAGTCTTTGAGACAAACAAGACAGATTTCACTGGAGATTTGGTTTGGGAAGAGACTTACATTACAAATCCTTCTCAACTAAAGAGTTTGTGTGACCTCTGTGCACTTCTCCACTCCTCCATCCCTTAGGAACCTACCCGGACTCCAACTGCTTCTCCCTGGATTATGAAGACCGGTTTACCTACTAGGGTGTAGTTGCAAACATGTCTTTAAAAGTCACGCTGCAAGTAATACTTATTGGTTTATATAAATATTGAAATGTCTTGATAGTTAACACATCACAGTGTGCAGAATAACTGTCCCCACAGGCAGTATCCATCGGCCTCAGAGCATCAGGGGCATAGAGGCCAAGATACAGGTGAAACCTCTTGAAAAGAGGTCAAAACAAGGACGGAACAGAACTGCGACCTTGCAGCTCTCCTTTATCTTCAACTTCTCTACCAGACCCTTCTCTTAA